GCAGAACGCCAGACTCTAGCAAATACACGAGGTCCTATTCTGCAGGCGGTCGAGTTCCACGAAATAGGTAGCATACCACGGTTTTTTAAATTTCTACTTTTAAGAGGGCAAGCTCGCTTCAGGAAGAGATTTTAACAGAGACTTTTTAATAATAAAGCCTAAAGGAAAGCTTTTAAAATGCAAGAAGCCGACTACTTTAAGTCAAGGTGTTCGGTACTGAGAGCCCAGCGCAGCAGGCTCCCAGGGACCCACACCAGCCCCCCCCCACCCCTCAGCCCTAGCCTCAGGCAACAAGAGGTTGCCTGTTAACTTCAGAAGATGCCGGCAGTTTAAAGAAACACCTCGTTTAGGGTGTTTGCCCTGAAGGAATGAACCTGCAGGAAGGCCTGGGGAATGCTGGGGGCAGACGCTTACTAGAGCACTGAATCAAGGGGAGAAGTCAGACTTCCTCTGCCACAGCCTCACGGGCCTCAGGAAAGTCTCCCCTAATTGAGCCCCAGCTGCCCAGACTGGCCCTGACACTTAGGTTTGAACAAAGACTTGGAAAGGGCAGGGGGAGATGAAAGGGCACGGGGAAGATGCTCCCTCAGGAACAGGCACAGAAAGGACGAAAAATGTGTTCCCAGGTTCACACAGGCCGCCCGCTGGCCACCACTCGCTCTCCCTGTGGCAGGAGGCGTTACACGTGAACCAGTCACTCCAGCTGAGGGGAGGTCTGGACAGTCCCTGGCTCTGCTGGTCCCGCCCCTGCAAATCCTGAGAATGCTCAGAGGCTGCCGACTGATTTTGCCTGAGGGCCCAGGTGCTCCACTACTGAAGCGCTGATACAGGGGACTGGAAAGTACATGCGACATAATTCAGGGTATGGGTGGACCAAGTGTCAGCTGGCCCCCTGGATCTGAGGCTCAGGGACAGGTGGCTTTGGGACCAGAAGCCCACAGGCCTTTGGGAGGGTCCAGGCTATCGGAGATTGTTAGTTTCCTAAGAAGCTGGCTCTCTTCATCACCCACCTGAGGCCACTTGAACAGGGAGGAAGCAGAGGCCCTGTGTGTCTCTGAGCCTCTCAGGTTGGGTCCAACAGAAGCCCACTCCAAGATGAGGGTGTTTGATTGTGGAAGACCTCCCCACCCCCAGGAGAAGCTGGTAAGGAAGGAGAGAGGGAAATAACTCGCACAGAACAGCTCAGATTCTGAAGTCCTCCTCTGCAGCCAGGTCCTGAGGGGGCTCTGCGTGCCCATGATGATTGGGAGCTGCCTGCAGTGGGGGATCCAGCTGGGCTTCTGTACTCCACACCCAGTCCCCACTGGCAGAGCAGCCCCAGGAAGACCAAGACACTTGGCTCCTTCTGCAACCTGCAAGAGTGGGCCAAAGGGCCCCAATGGCCCCAGAGCACATACAACATTGGAAGGTGGCATCAGGAAACAGCGCTGCTTGGGTTAGCTGAGTTCATTACATCCTCACAGGTTCTCCCAGGGCTACGCTGGTCACCATGTGGTGCCCAGGCACACTGGGACAGGCTTCAAGTTTCTCCTTGAATTCCCCTGGCCTGAGCTTGTTAGCATGGTGACTGCAGGCTCTGGGCACTCGACAGACACTTGTTCAGTGAGCAAACAAGAGAAAGGAGAACCACAGGTTTCCTCAGAGCAAGGGGACTCTCCTGAGCCCAGCAGCCTGTAGAGTTGCTAAGGTATCACGGAGCAGCAAGTCCCCACTCCCACTGCCTGTGGAGGGCACATCCCCACCCCGCTGACTTTGGCCTGTGGCAGTTACTGGATGTGCTGTGGTCAGGAGGTAGCCAGCTGCCCTGGGAATAGTGTCACCAGAGTAGGTGCAGCCCTGCCAGCCTGTGTGACCCTCAGCAGCAACTGGGCTCCATCCACGGCTCCTGGAGCAGGAGGGACGCTTGCAGCTGTAAAAGCTTTAGATTCTAAGATGCCAGGTAGTCTTTTTTTTTTTTTTAAATGTAGCATTATGGTGGCACTAGCTGACAGATCTGCCACCTTCTACTAAAACATTTTCACAAACCAAAGAAAACACACTAACTGGAAACATTGTGTCTAAAATGATGTCACTCAGATTCTGGTTTTGCTGTGGTCATGAACCCACAGACTCATGAAGCTCAGTGCAGGGACATCCAGTTGACAAGTGCTCAGGTATTGGAAGGAAGTTGTAGGAGGTAACTGCTATAGGAAGAATTCCCACACACCTCCAGTGCAGCCCTGTACCCATTCACTGCTCTTGTTGGAAACTTGTGGATTAGAGCTACTCCCTGAGCCCTGAAGCACCAAGAGCAAATGCCTTTAGCCACTGGCTGTCCTCTGGTTCAGAGCCCAGCTCCCAAATCTTCTCCTAGTATCTGATGTGTGAAGGATCTGGGCCAAGGGCCCTGAGGGGACATGCTGTGGGTTGAGGCCAGGGCATGATTTGAAGCTGTGCTCATGTATCTCCATGCTATTTTTGGTTAAGTGTATAGTGTAGGTTTGGAAATGGGTGTCAGGGCCTTGGCAAGTCTACAGAGCCACCTTTCTGGCCATCCTGCCTGGGGGCTGATGATCCCAAACTGCCCAGCCTGGCTACACTCCCTGGGCTTACCAGAACTGCTCTCCAAGGTTGTTCCCATGACCCCGGGACCCTGTTATATGCACATGGGGATGTGACTGTGATCTGAAAATGCCCCTGTGGCTTTGTGGCTTCAGTGGGCAACCCACCTAACTGCAAAACTCATGAGGGGCATCCCGAGGGCCAGAGGCAGGAAGAAAGCTCTCTACCACCCAAGTCCTGGCTGTCCCATCAACAGGACTGCTGCCAGCCACAGATCACAAAATGGGAGCTTCGTGCCAACAGGATCTCAGGTAGCTGACGGAGCCAACCTCATCCTTGAAGCCAGAGTCCATCCCACATTCCCTGACTGCAGCTCTGCTCCTGCTGGGTCAGCCGGGCAGGAGCTCAGTGCCTAAGGCAGCTTGGCACATGTGCAGGATCTGCTATCCTCCTCTGCTATGCAGAAATGCTCTGGATGGGAGTGCCATCCACTGCCTGGGAACCAGAAGGAGCAGAAGCTGACCTGAGTCTGGAGCCCAAGGCGGCCCCACCCAGCACTACAGAGACTCAGGACTCAGTGGATGCTGCAGATGCCTCACTCTAAGAAGACCTCACAGGCACGTTAGTCCACATCTGATCCTGGAATCTGTGACCATGCAACCTTCCAAGGCAGAGGGACCTTAGACTGAGGGTTTGAGAAGTGGGGAAAGGTCCTGGACCATCCAGCCTGATGTCATCACAGGACACTAGCAAGTGGAGGTAGGAGGCAGGAGAGCCAGATAAGACCTGGGGTGGAGCAGAGGGCCAGAGATGCGGCCTGAGAAGCATCGTGAGCGGTTGAGGTTGACCGAGGGTGGGAAAGCAGCCACCATCAAAATTAAGTGGCTTAGAAAACAAGAGATACATCCCACTGCCCCCCAGGAAATGTAGCCCCACTGACACCTTGATGATCTCCCAGAGACACCCGATTGGACTTCAGACCTCCAGCACTGCGTGAGGATCTATTTAAGACACTGCGTTTGTGGGGATTGGTTTCAGCACCAGGACATGAGGACAGAGACACAGGCCATTTCAAAGGCAGGGACCAGCAAGCGAAGCCACGTCCCCGTGTGCTGAAGCTTCTTCCTCCTGCTGACCTGCTTGGGGAGTGATGAAGACATCACCTTGATGGTCTCCCAGAGACACCCTCAGGTATTGTGTTCACCTACATCTAAAAAAAACATTTAAAAAGAAGCCAATTGTGTACTCTACACGTATGTTGAAATATCACACAGAACCCCAGGAAACTGAGTCAGCTTTTGTACACGTTTTATGGAGCTATATTACAATTTGAAAGTTTTCAGTGGAAACATCAGGGATGCTAAACTTTAGAGATTTTTTAAAAAAAATAATAAAGGAATGCTATGTTATCCAAGTTTGCAAATTATTATTCTCTCATCACTAAGCCATCTCAACAAAAGTAACATACAGAATGCATCAGTTTTAATCCATTTAGAAAACAAAAAATATCAATTTGATATTTTATTTAAATGTGATATGTGAATCCAGACTGAATGCCAGCAGCCTCTTTAAACGGGAGGTAATCACTAACCCTACAGAGATTTGATATTAGTAGAAGGCAACCTCTTTAGGTAGATCCGACGCAATCAGGAAAAAAAAATCCCCCTATTACTGCCATAGAATGAAACACAATACTCATGATGAAAGGCCTCCTTCCTCCCAGATTTTTCCAACAGAAATGGACAACTTATGCTTCACTGCTCCGCATTATCTATGAGCATAACCTGGAACACAACCTAAATGCTAAGCAGCACAGCTTCCCTATTCACAGTATTTTAAATATATGTGAGGGGATATTAGGGAGCCATTAACATTGTTTTTAAGAAATAAAGTCAAGAGAAAAATTTTCTAAAAGAAGTGCAAGTAAAAGCATCTTATATAAAAATAAAATCTGTATATAGGGCTGGAGCTGTGGCTCAGTGGTAGAGCGCTCACCTGGATCCCAGCACCACATAAAACTAAATAAACAAAATAAAGTATTATATCCATCTACAACTAAAAATATTTTTTAAAAAATATTATATACATACACATACATACACACACATATTCTAAATTTGTAAAATAAATAATCTACCATGTTTGTTCTCTGTGGAGGTTATATTGAGTTAAACCCCAGGCAGTAGGGCATTGGTACCTCCCCATATCATGAGAAGAGCATTTGATAATTAGAAAACAACCTGACCCTTTGTTCAGGAACCACAGCGTTGGGACAGGCCCTCTGGTCTCTGGGGCCACCCAGCCCAGGCCACGAGACCCTGGGGAGGTGGGATGGCTTAGGCACCCCAGTACAGGATGGCCAGGGCTGCCCACCGCTGCCCAGGGTCACAGCACTGCCCATGGGTGGAGGCCAGGCCTGAGCCTCCCGAGGCTGGGTTGGGACAGTACAGGGCGCTTACCTGTTGCGTGGGCCCAGGCGCTGGCAGGCCACGGTGGCGGTGGCGTGCTTCCCGCCATTCCCCACCTCCTGCTTCACGTCCCACTGCCGGGGCTCACTGGTCCACGCGCTCAGGATGTTCACGCCCTTCTTCACCTTGGCCCTGCGGATGGAGACATGGAGACGGTGAGAGCCGCAGCATTAGACTGGCCTTCCCAAAGGTGCACGGATCGCCGAAGCTGCTGCGTGGCTCCTTTTCCGCTTGCCCATATTTTCACAGTCGGTGTGCAAGATGGTGGCTGTGGGGCAGGGGAGGAGGATGGAGGGGGAAGTGAGGAGAGCTGTCACTGCAGACCAGGGAGCCAGGTACCTCCTGTCCTGCACCAAGTGGGGGAGGGGGAGGGGAGGGGGAGAACTGCTGCAGACCTGGGAGCCAGGTACCTTCTGTCCTGGGCCAGGGGAGGAGTGGGGGGAGACCTGCTGCAGACCAGGGAGCCAGGTACCTCCTGTCCTGGGCCAGGGATGGAGGGTGAGGGGAGGGGGAGACCTGCTGCAGACCTGGGAGCCAAGTACCTTCTGTCCTGGACCAGGGGTGGAGGGGGAGGGGAGGGGGGAGACCTGCTGCAGACCTGGGAGTCAGGTACCTCCTATCCTGGGCAGGTGGGAGAGGGGGAGGGGAGGGGGAGACCTGCTGCAGACCAGGGAGCCAGGTACCTCCTGTCTTGCACCAGGTGGGAGAGGGGGAGGAGGGGGAGACCTGCTGCAGGTACCTCCTGACCTGCGCCAGGTGGGGGAGGGGAACCCAGATGTTCCTTAGACCAGCACTAGAATGGCAGCTAGTTTGGGCACACTGCCAGGGTTAGCTGTCCTCAATCCAAGTTCGAGTCCTGCTGGGCATGTTTGTACATGTCTGGAGACATTCTGGGTCATCGCAGCTGGGGTGGGTATGATGTCATCTAGTGGATAGAGGCCAAGCAGCCTGCAAGGCCTCGGAGAGCCGCACAACACAGAAGAAGCCAAAGGTCAGCAGTGCTGGTTATGTCACATTTATGATGTCTCTGTGCCTCCTTCCCCTCCTCTGTAAAGAGAGGGGGTGGGCATAACACCTCTGATGTGAGGCTGGTGTTTGAATGTGTCAACACACAGGAGCACAGGGGGTAGCATCAGCCACACAGAACACTCCTGAGGACAGCCCGCCGTGTCCCCGCCTCTCCAGGTGTCTCCTGCTCAGTCTGGAGGCTGCATCCCACTCTGCCAAAGCCAACCAGGACCCTGAGAGCATGCAGACAGCCCCTCCCGCTGCTGTCATTTCCTCACCCCCAGCCAGCTCTAAGGACCTCTGTGTCACCACTAAGCTGCTGAGAAAAACGCAGGATTGAGCGTGAACATCGGGGGACTCTCGCCCCTGATCCCACTTAGAGGAGGGCAAAGGACTGTCTCAAAGGCACGAGCCCCCTGTACGGAGAGGAGACTCCACCTGGCAACAGGTCTGGAACCTGGGAAAAGTAAGTTCTGCAGGAGAGATGGATGAGCAGCACTTCAGCAGCTGCAAGAGAGAAGAGCTGGGGACAAAAGCAGCGCAAGCCACAGGACTCCAGGTCCAGGGCACCAGCTGGCTCTGAGAGCAGTTCATAAATAAAGAGGGTTAGAGCTGGGGTCTGCTTAGGAGGCAGCCCTACTAGCACGCCTCCCTGTCCCTGCAAGGGGGGTCTGCCTGAACTCCACACAGGGCCCACGTACCAGGACGAGAACTGGGGCCCCTCACTGCAAAGACGTGACCTGCGCACACTGAACACTATTCCCAGTTCTTTCCAAGCTGGACCTTCACTTTCCAGGAAAAACATAGGATTCTAGAGAATTCCACTGTCCTGAAGCAAAGTCCTACAGCACTGTGGCTGGGGCCACTTGAAACAGGTTCCCTCTCATGAGACTGCCATCTGTGAGTCCCAACCATAGGCCCAAGTTTCTGTTAATAAAAGACCACAGGGAAGGGAAGAGGCATGGAGGGACAGCCCAGAGGGAGCCTTCAAGGAGGTGAGGACAGGAGGTGGAAGACAGGGACACAGGAAACCAAGAGAGCAGCTTCCCAGTTCCACATGCGAATCACCGAGAGGAGAGAGAGCGTTCCCGGGGAGCACTTCAAGAACATTCCCCCAACTTGGAGGCCAGCTGTTTTCAGAGAGGAAGAGCCCACCGGGCATCGTCACAGGAAGTGAGGACTGCAGCACAGCAGGCTGGGCACTCAGAACACATCAGAGCTCTGGACACACAGGGGCCAAGGTCACAGGCTCCAGAGAGAGCAGCCTCAGGAGACCTAGAAAATGAAGGGAAACATCTCAAACATCCCTGGGGAGGGGTTTTCCAACCTGGATTCCTGCCTCTAGCCAATTCATGAGCTCAATGCTTCTACACACGTGAGTTCTCAGAAACTTTATTTCCTATACCCAGGCTGGGAAATGTCTGTGAAGTGCTCCACCCAACCAGAGGGTCATCCCAGAGGTCACAAGATGACCCAGAGTACAGCAGAGGCGGAGGCTCCAGTGATGGCAGCAAGGCCCCTGGGTAACTCAGAATACACCAGCAGAGACATTTCCCAGAAGTTGCAGTTTCCTAATAAATGCACCGTGAATGGCTGCTTTACAAAGGATTTAGACAACTATTGGAGATCCTGGCAATGAAGAAAAGGTAAATACACTGAGAATCAAGGAAAAGAATAGAACAAATCAGCTTTGGATTGTAACTGTAAAACATTATGCAAAAAAGGAAAAGTCATCATGATTTAATACTCCATTTTGCCACGATTCACACACACATTTACAGTATTTTCAACCCTCAGTACTAATCGGAACAAAATGGGATGATTACCCTGGAGGGAAAGAGCTAGAAGGGAGGGCACTGGTGTAGGGAAGAAGGGTGAAATCTGGCTTGACCCTCCACAGTGGGAAATCTGTAGATCTTGCCCAAAGCTCAAACAGGAGGAAATCCACACCCGCATGACACTTAGTGACACAGATGTAAATTCCAGACAAAGAGGGCATTTTGCAGGACAGAGAAATGGAGCAGCTGTGACATTTTCAGTTCTGAAATAGTTAAATCACTTGAGAGTTGCAATAAATAAAACTACAGAGTTCCTTGTGCACTTGACCCAGTTTGCCCCCATGTGGACACCACAGACAGTCATGGTTCACGGTCAAGGTCAGGAGATGTGTTGGTACAGTACCACCCATGGGGGAAGGACCCCAGGCTCCAGCACTCACAGACCTTCTTCCTTTGTGAACTCCAGGTGCGTGGAGTCAGGGATCTGCAGCACAAGCAAGACACAGAGCTGTTCCCAGGCCACGAGGGGACCCTCCTGACCCCTCCATGGTGGCCCATCCTCACCCTAATCCTGAAAACAGCTCTGCTCTCCTGTATCAATTCAAGATTCATGTACGACTACTTGACTTAACATTATGCGCACGCTTGCATCTTATGAGAGGATTTGCTAAAACAGTTGCGCGCGCGCACACACACACACACACACACACACACACACACGCTTCTGCTCTGCTTGTCTCCCAGAGTCAAGCAACTCAAGGGAGCAGCTAAAGGCTATTCAGAGCTGAGAAGGCCATTGCTGGGTGGTCACCAGGAGGTGGGGGAGGTAGTCATGAATCAACCTTCCCCTGCCTGACTCAGGGGTGTCCAAATGAGCCGCAGGGCAGCCCGAGCCTCTCAGCCACAGCCCATCTTCTCTAGAGCGATCTGAGTTTCATGTTAAAGTGATTTGCTAAATAATCCTGCTACCCTGTGTGTGAAGGCCAATACCTAGAGACGCACCCATGTGGGAAAGCCCTTTGCTCCTAGCACAGGGAACGTGCCGCCCACTGTCTCCCACAGGATCTCCTACCCTGCACATGAAGGCGGCAGGCAACATCGCCTTGCTCGCGTTTGGGTTTTGCTCAAATTCCAGATTTCACTGAAGCTACATTTCTTGTCCCCACTCAGACTTCACACAGGTGAGGGACTCCACCATGGGCGATGCTGGTCTTGGGGTGGGGGAAGTGGCCACGGAGGTGGGGGCGGGTGTGGGAGGCCACTGGTGGTCAGGTGTGTCCTCTGATGACAACCAGGGCTACTGTCTACTTCAGGGATGAGTTGTGCCTGGAGTTTGGGTTTTTGGATCAGAAGTTTTGCAATCAGAATCAGCATTAAAGATTCAGTGGAAGTAGGGCTGAGGGTGTGGCTCGGTGGAAGAGCCCTGGGTCCCATCCCCAGCACACAGTCATACACACACAAAGTCAGAGGACTTGGAGGATCCCTGGCTTCTGAGTAAGAGGCACTGATGGTGGGCCAGTGGCTCTGTGAGAGGCTGACCTTTCTCAGCATGTACACAGGGAGGGAAAGGACAGTGAGCCACGGTGCAGGGGCAGACTTGGCCCTGCCTTGGGAGTTGCCCAGGACTTTCTTCATCATTCCCTATACAAAGTGTGGCTTGGTTTCTTGGAACCCTGTTATGATTTAGACGTGGTGTCCCCTAAAAGCTCACATGTGAGACAATGCAAGGAGGTTTGGAGGAGGAGTCATTGGGGTATAGCCTTAACCTAGTCAGTGAACTAATCCCTGATGGGATTAACTGAGTGGCAACTAGAGGCACGTGGGGTGTGGCTAGAGGAGTGGGCAGTGGGGGCATGGCTTAGGTGTATCTGGCGAGTGGAGTCTCTGCTTCCTGATTGTCTTGGGAGCCACTTCCTCTGCCACACTCTTCCACCACGATGTCCTGCCTCACCTTGGACCCTGAGGGATGGAGCCAGCTGTCCATGGACTCAGACTTCTGAAACCACAAGCCCTCAAATAAACTTTTCCTCCTTTAAAATTGTTCTGTTTGGGTCTTTTAGTCACAGCAGCAAAAAAAGCTGACTGAAACAATCCTGATTTGTGGGACTTCCACTGCGCGTCACCGAGGAGATGATTCCAGTTAGGGACTCAGTTGAAGGACACAGAGGCGGCCATCTTTCATTTGTCACGTCACCATCGGCCCTGACCATTCCTGGCACGGTGCTGGATACTGGATGTCCCGGGCTCAGGGGTGGGCCTCGCCTGGCGGCTCCTGCGGCCTGCCTGTGGGGACCTGGGAGGGCTCATGCCCTCTGCACAGCAGCTTCATAGCCTGCATTCAGTCCC